CCACCAATCCCGGAAAGGTATGAACAATTTGTTGGGAGAGTCGGGCTGACAATGAGAGGCATCTTTGTTCTGCTCGCGATGTGTGCACACATTGTGGAACAGCCAAGAGCCAACCAAAGGCAACAACTCATAGTGTTGGAACGTGTTGCGGCTGCCTCTCTCATCACGCACTGTACTGATGTATTCGGAGCCCGTGTCCAGTTCATCAAAACTCGCATGTGTTGCTGTAATCACCCTCTCCGCGCTGGAAATACATTTGGTTTCGATACACTCGTCTGCCTGTCCCAAGCTGGAGGGCGCTTCAACTATGACGACGCCGGTAAAATAAGCTCTCGCACCCACAAGCGGATGCGCCCAGACTGCCAACCCATGTCTGCTTGCCCGCCACTTGGTAGGTGCCACTTGATACCGCACACGACAAGCCCTGTTAGAATCATGTTGTATGTGCGCAAGTACTCACATAACTGGCACTCTGGACGGTTTCTAAGTCCCGGCGTTAGCAATAGCAATAAGCGATTCAACATGTCGAGTTTGGCGGTAAAGCATTTCCTCGCGTGGGTGCGCCCAGCTCTCTCGCATGGCATCACGCTGATCGCCCTTGTGCTGTAAAGGTTTTATCATAAATCCCTAAACGTTCGGGGTCAAATGCAGCACGTGCCGAGACCACTGGGAGAAAGAAACGGCAAGTAAAAAAAGGTCATGTGTATGTCCAAGCCTCCTCCCTGGCCTAAGTCGAAAAGTGCAGTCCGGATAGCCTCTAGACTCTAGAAGGACATCATCAGCATCAGCAGCCGCAGCATCATCATCATCATCATCATCATCATCATCATCATCATCATCAGCAGCAGCAGCGTCACCATCATGATCATCATCATCAGCATCATCAGCATCATCATCATCATCATCATCATCATCATCATCATCATCATCATCATCATCATCATCATCGTCATCGTCGTCGTCAGCAGCAGCAGCAGCAAGAAGCAGCAGCATCATCAACATCAGCAGCAGCATCATCAACATCAGCATCGTCATCATCGTCGTTACTGATATCATCGATCATGACCACCATCATCATCGCCACCACCACCACCATCATCAGCATCATCATCACCACCACCACCACCACCATCATCATCATCATCATCATCAGCATCATCATCGGCATCGTCATCGTCATCATCATCGTCGTCGTTATCGTCATCGTCATCGTCATCGTCGTCGTCAGCAGCAGCATTAGCATCATCAGCATCAGCAGCATCGTCACCGTCCGTAGCCACTTTGGCTCAAGCCGCGATTCCTGCTCTCTCCATTGGCCCTTTGACCCATGGCCGCGGCGTGCCGCTGGGGCCCTGGAGGCTGCCGAGCGGTGGGAGAGATGGAGGCCTGAGAACGGCGCGGGAGGGCGCGCCGTGCGGGGGCGTCCCTGGAAGACCGCTGCGGAGCGGCACGCCGCCCGCCGAGCGCTGCTCGTCGTGCAGCCGCCTGGGCCATCCAGAGGCCCTGGCTGGAGAAGCTCGATCCTCGACGCTCGATCCTCGACGCTCGATCCTGGATCGAGGCCTGCCAAGGACATCTCCGTACTCCAGGAGGCCGTGGCCCTGCTCGTCGGCGACGCCGAGGTCGGGGATCGGGTGGTCGCGATCATTCCCGCGCCGGCGGCGAGGTTGGCGGGCCACCGTCCCGAGCACACGGATCAGCTGCGGCGCAACGGGGCCATGCACGCTGAGGTTCCTACAGGCGCTGAGGTTGCGCGGGCTTCGCCGCAGCAGCTCAGAAATTGGCAGCGCAGTGCACGGCTCGAAGCTCGACAGCCTGGCTCTCGCGCGGCGAGGCCGTGGGTGGCGCGCCTCGGAGCCCTCTGTACTTGCGGCGCCACGCTCTTCTTCTCCTGTCGCGGGCGTTGCTGGCTGCAGGTGGAGGGCGAGGATCCCGAGCCGAGGGAGGCCGAGAACCTGGACGCCGCCACGCCCGTGTCCGACGCCGAGGCCGACGAGTTTGCCGGGGCCATGGTCGCCTTGCGGCCAGACGCCGCGATCGAGGCGCAGTCCGACGCCGTGCCCGACATAAGTGCTGTGACTACGTCAGCCCCGGCGCCGAGCAGCTTCAGGGCCGAGGCGCCCATCTTCGTCCCGCTCAAAGAGCTCCATAGGCTCTTGGTGGAGTTGCCTGGAGGGCACCGTCGGCCCGCGGGGCGAATACAACCGTTTGCGCGGCGACGTGCCCGTCTGGATCAAGCGCCAGACGGCCAGTTGCCAGCTGACTGGGTGCCCCCCCCACCAGCTGAGGGCTCCGAGGGTGGCATGCAGGGCTTGGAGGCGGCTGATGCTGATGCAGCAGCTTGCGGTGGTGATCCTCGCGTTCGTGGCTTGAGCGGTATCGGGACGCCCACGGAAGCGTCGTGTAAGCAGCAGTAGCTGCTGCTGCTGTGGGTTTCGTTCGCAGGTGGCAAAACGGGCGGGTCCTCGTGTGGCTCGTGGCGCCACCCTGCGTCGAAGTGCGGCCTCGCGGGCAGGCGGTGAAGCGGCGAGTCCTCGTGTGGCTCGTAGCGCCACCCTGCCGCGAGCGCCTTTGTGCCTGCTCATTGTTGGTGTGAGAGTCCCCTGGCGCGCATACTCTGCGCAAGACATGTGTTGGCGATGTAGAAATGCAGTTGCTGGCGCCCGATGCGGCTTGGGACCCGTTGGTCCGCCGAGCTCGGCGCCTATCATACTCGTGGCGCCAGACGGGCCCGAGGATCACAAATGCCTGGAACGAGGTGCCGCTGCCGTGCTCGAGCGTGTCGCCTCTCTCACGCGGCGGCGATTGGCCGCCGGATTGGCCGCCGCTGGTGTGGCAGCGGCGTCAGGCTGGAGCCCAGCAGGTCCTCGCAGGTGCCGAGTGGGAACGGCCAGACGCTGCGGGCGAGGCGCAGAGGTAAGCGTAGGGGTTCGGGTGGCTTTCGGCCTACAGCTACAGACCTTCTAAGATGCAATGGATCATCATCCTGGTCATCGTCGCCGTCAGTATCATCATCATCATCATCATCATCAGCAGCAGCAGCACCATCATCATCAGCAGCAGCAGCAGCATCACCATCATCATCAACATCATCGTCAACCTCATCAGCATCATCATCGCCATCAGCATCATCAGCATCATCGTCATCATCACCTCATCATCCTCCTCATCATCGTCATCGTCATCAGCAGCAGCAGCATCAGCATCCGCATCAGCATCATCATCATCATCATCAGCAGCATCATCATCATCATCATCATCATCATCATCATCATCATCATCATAAGCAGCAACAGCAGCATCAGCATCAGCATCATCATCATAAGCAGCAACAGCAGCATCAGCATCAGCATCAGCTTCATAGTCATCTTCATATTCATCTTCTTCATCATCATCATCATCATCAGCATCATCAACATCATCATCATCATCATCATCATCATCATCATCATCATCATCATCATCATCATCATCATCATCATCATCATCATCATCATCATCATCATCGTCAACATCCTCATCCGCATCCGCATTCTCATCACCATCAGCATCATCCTCATCACCATCAGCATCATCATCATCAGCAGCATCAGCACCAACAACAACAGCAGTAACAGCAATAGCAACAACAGCAGCAGCAGCTCCTCCCCGCTCGTCGTCCTCCTCCTCCTTCCCCCCTAAACCCCCTATTCCCTCCTCCTCCTCATCATCATCATTCTCATCCTCTTTCTTCTCCTCCTCCTCCTCATTCCTCGCTCCTCCCTATCATCCTCCCTCCTCATCCCGATAGCATGCTGAAGGAAAGAATATTGAATATCGGGCCGGTACTTCACGGATGGTCACGCGGTCCTGTGCGCGCTCACAAGTAGCAAGATTGGGCAAGCGAAGGCCGCCTTTCACGCCGCGGCACCGAGGGTGAGAAAGATAGAGAGGGAGAGAGATAGAGAGAAGAAAAAGAAAGAGAGAGAGAGATAGAGAGAAAAAAAAAAAAAAAGGACCACACGTTGACAAACACGAGTGCGTGTATACCATTGGGTCCGCGAGTGTGTGCAAGGCCGACACCGTCCGGCAGGGGCACACCAGGAAGGCAAACACAAGTACGAGGACGCCGCAGGGGTGCCCGCGGCATGCGGCATGAGGAAAGAGGCGCGCTTCGGATTATTGATCGCTCCTCCCTCGAGTACAGTCAACCCGTATAAGACGGATGCACGATAAGGATGCAAGGGCCTTGGAAGGCCATGTCGAGACTTTGCGAGCGGAGCGCGGCCAGCGAAAGCGGCCAAGGATGGGCCGAAGGGGAAGGATGCGAGGGTAACCTTGGAAAGTTGCTCATCCTTCCTATGCGGGCTGACTGTAGGAGAAGAAGTATGAGGACGGAAGCGAAGGAGGCGCAAAAGGTGGATGAGGGAGCACGTTGGGGTCGGAGCAACCAAAAGGATACCCACGAGGACGAAGAGGCGGAGGGAGGAGGAAGAATGAAGCAGGAGCATCAGGCGCGGTAGGAGCAGCAGGAGCAGAAGGATGGAGGGAGCAGGGCGGAAAAGGAAGAAGGGACCAGGGAGGGGGAAGAAAAAGAGAGGGAGGAGGGGAGGGAGGCGGGGAGGAGAGGGGGAGTGGAGAAGGGAGGGCGGGGGAGGAGGAAGGAGCACGAGGGCAGGAGCAGACGGCACGAAAGCAGGAACCAGCGCAAGAGCCGAGCCCCCCAGCGCGCCAGAGTCCAGCCCGGCCGCGGGCGTCGTGCGAGCGTCGTGGGGGGCCCAGCTTGGCGCCGCGGGTGAGAAGTCCTGCGACCAGGGCCGAGGAGCCAGAGGCAAGGTTTTGGAAAAGAAGTCCCCTCTCCTCCCTCCTGCTCCTTCTCCTCCCTCCTCCTCCGTCCTCCCTCCCTCCCTCCCTCCCTCCCTCCGCCCTCCCTGCCTCCCTCCCTCCCTCCCTCCCTTCCCCCCTCCCTGCCTCCCTCCCTCCCGTCTCGCGCCGCCGGCTCCCGAAAGGGACCTGCACCCCCTTCGCCCGAAGGGGACCAGCGGCGATGCCGGAAAGAGGTCAGTCCCGCGGGGACTAACCGAGAAGAAGGCCAATTCGCTGGCGCATCCATCCATCCCTCCTCATCCTCCACCACCTCCTCCTCCTCCTCCTCCGCCTCCTCTTCCTTCTCCTCCTTCTCCTCCTCCTCCTCCTCCTCCCTCCTCCTTCCTCCTCCTCCTCCTCCTCCTCATCCTCCTCCTCCACCCTTTCCTCTCCTCCTCCTCCTCCTCCTCCTCCTCCTCCTCCTCCTCCTCCTCCTCCTCCTCCTCCTCCTCCTCCTCCTCCTCCTCCTCCTCTTCCTCCTCCCCCGTAGCCATTTTGTGTCAAGCCATTCTGGCTCAAGTGGGATACCTCCCCACTTGGGCCAAAATGCTTCCACGACCGTTTCCCTCGAGACCTCGTGGCCGAGCGTTCGGGCTCGGGCACCATGGAGGAGGGTTTCGTTTCTTGGCGCTGGCTTCGTCGCGGAGGACCGCGATGCCGTCCGGCTTGAAGGACAAGCTAGAGGACATGGGTGCGCCACCGGCTTGAAGTACAAGTTGGAGGATCAGTGCAGGTTTCGCTCGAAGCTCGAATTCCGGCCCTCATGTAGAAAGACAGCTTTTCTTCAGCAACTTCGTTTCCACGGAGGTCGTAATGCTGAACTGCAAGGCTCAAGTATGAGCAAGGGAGGAGGTCGCCACGTGGGGCAGCAAACCACCTTCCTCAACTCCTTCGGCGTGCTCCTCGGGGCTTGTGGCCAGGCTGTTCCGTCTGTCGCGTTGGCTACTTCGTCGGGATGTTCTTCGAGTTTTGAGGTCGCTCCTCCCTCTTCCTCCTCATGCAAGGGCGTGGGCCGCCAAGTCGGTAGACACTCTTCTTTCAGGATGCGTTCTGGTCCTCCTCCCCCTCCTCCTCCTCCTCCTCCTCCCCCTCCTCCTCCTCCTCCTCCTCCTCCTCCTCCTCCTCCTCCTCCTCCTCCTCCTCCTCCTCCTCTGGACGCAAACCCGAAACAGGGCCACTGTACGCAGAAGCTCCTTCCCCACGGAGACCCGACCCCGCTCATGGGCCGAGCGGCCCTCCTTCCCCCAGGGAGGGGCCACCGACCGCACGGGGCGCGGACCGCTCCGGCTCGATCCAGCGGGCCGATTGGGGATCGAGGTCCACGCAACGCGCAGTCGACCAGATCTCGCACGGGGGGGCCCCCTATCAACCCGATCACGACGCCCTGGGCCCTCGGGCCCCCCAGTACCTTATTAAAGTGCTGGGCTCCCCCGAAATGGTCCCCGGGGGCGCGGTGGGGCCCGACTGTCTCTCGCGCGCCAGGGGCTTCAGGATGACGTGAGTTCCACAGAAACTCCCTCAAACTAAGCCAGCCTGACCGAAGCGACAACCCGGCCAGTGGGGTCTAGTTCGCCCCAGATTGCCGTACGTACCTCAGCCCAGGTTCCTTGGCGGAGCCCACTGGGACGAAGTGGTGATCCAGCCGGCTGCGCGAAACCGCTCGAACTAAGCAGACCGAATGAGTGACGCAGTCAGCTGGAGGGGTGGAGCTGAGGCCCACCAGCTCCTCGATGTCCTGCACATGCTACCCCATCAGCATGCGGCCCCCTGGCGGCGTCCTTGAAGAACTTGAAGTCCGTGCGGGGGAAATACTCGGGTGCGGCAGGGAGGAGGGAGATTACGAGGATGAGCCAGTTGCGGGATGCAACCTGTGGCCGCATGGGAGAAGAGGAGGAGGAAAAGGGGGAACAGCAGCAGCAGCAGCAGCAGCAGCAGCAGCAGAGGGGAGGAGGGCAAGGGAAATGAGGGGCAGGAGGGAGGCGGAGGAATAGTGAGGAGGGGGGTGACGGGTGAAATGGGAAGGAAAAAGAGGCAGAGGAAAGAGAAGATAGGAGAAGGGGAGCGTATGAAGAGGGAATAAAATGCGTCCTCCTGGATTCCTGCACTTGGCGGCGAGCGAGTGGGGGAAGTGAGAAGTAGAAGGCCATCGTAGAAAGCTCAGAAGTCCTCCGGCATTCTGAGAAGTTTTCTAAGCCTTCCCAGAAGACACGGAAGACTTCTCAGAAGGCCCGAGGGCTTATGAGAAGTCCCGCCGCCCTCTGAGAAGGCCTGTTCCTTCTCACTTCCCCCCCTCGCTCGCCGCCGATGCGCACGTGTTAATGGTGATTCCTTGAACCAAATCAGCCTGGCGGTCGGAACTACCAATCCAGACGCATAGGTTGTTGTTCTGTTCATAGCTCGAAGTCCCCCCTCTCCACCCACCCACAGAAAAAAACAGCATGTAGAACTACGGGCGCGTGAATGGTGTTTGAGTGCCTGCCCAGTCGTCACGAAAACTGAAACATGTTACGATGCGTGTTTGGCCATCCAGCACGAGAGAGCGTATTACACTTGCGCGTCAACGTTCTCGGCTGGGCGGCGATGGAACCTCCTCTCCTCCACAAAGGACGGGAGGTTCAAACTTGGCTTGCATGCCTCATTGACGTGTTCTTGTAGGCCACATGTCAACTGCAACGCCCTCAGCTGACTCGTATCTAAAACGTTGCGGGGCCTGGAACAAGGAAGGGAGGAGAAGCAGCGGCAGCTGGATTGGGAGCAAGGGGGGAAGGAGCAGCAGGCGGCGAGGAGGAAAGCGCGCACCCACACCCAGCCCCGACAGGCAAAACACGATGGCTGTGGATTCTGCGCTCGGAATGGCAGCTAGGCGCCGAGAGCGCGCACTGGCGAGCTCAGGGCATGCTTTAGAATGCTCGCCGCATTCCAGCGGTTCCAGGGGCATCCTCCTCCTCCTCCTCCTCCTCCTCCTCCTCCTCCTCCTCCTCCTCCTCCTCCTCCTCCTCCTCCTCCTCCTCCTCCTCCTCCTCCTCCTCCTCCTCCCCCCAGCTGCTGTGGGTCTGGTGGGATCCCTGCCGCGCTTCCAGGGCCGACGCCGCCCCCCCCCCCCGCTGGCGTTGGAGGCACGGCGTGCAGCATCGACGTCCGAAAAGCACGCTGTCCCCCGTGGGGCGATCCCTCCGCGAGAGCCCCGCCAGTGGGTAGGAACATGAAGTAGGAAAGCGTTTGAAGTACACCCTGCGAAATGCTTAAGAAATCATGGGTTAAGAAATTCATAGTCTCAGAACTTGAATAAAAACCCAACATGTCCATTAAAATCTTAAGATTTACATTGAAACGTTAAGAATAATCGAGACTCTGGCCGAAAATTTAAGTTTTCTTAAGCATCGCCTAAGGTGTAGATTGGGCTTTCGCCCGCCGCCTAAGAGGAGAGGAGAAGGAAAGCAGTCGATCCTTGGAGCAGGAAGGATCTGTGCGGCCGTCCTCCTGCTGGGGCTGATTCGGCGCAGGCTGTGTCCCCAAGGTTGGGGGGAAAGCGTGTAGTGAGCGAGCCGGCGGCGCCACGCGGCACGCTGCCTTTACAACAGAAGGAGAGGAGGACGACGATGACGAGGAGGAAGGTAATGAGGATGAGGGCGAGGAGGAGGGGGAGGAGGGGGAGGAGGAGGAGGAGGAGGAGGAGGAGGAGGAGGAGGAGGAGGAGGACGACGACGACGACGAGGAGGCCGAGGAGGCCGAGGAGGAGGACGAGGAGGAGGACGAGGAAGACGAGGCCGAGGAGGCTGAGGAAAACGAGGACGCCTGAGGACGAGCCCAAAGACCACCAAAAGACGGCCCAAGAGCGCTCCCAGGGGCTCCAGGGCGTCGCCAGGATGCCCCGAGAGGCCCCAAGAAGCATCCAGGAGACCCTCAGCGAGTCCTCCAGCGAGGCCCGCAAAAGCGAAAGCCATTGAAGAATCAAAGGGAACTCAAGGGGGTTTTGTTTCCGAGGCCCTCTGGCTTCAGATCGCCTCGGGAAAGCTCCAGAGAGCCCCAAGAAGCCCCCAAGACAGCCCAAAGTTGCCACAAGAGGGCCCCGAGATGACCCCAAGAGAGACCGAGGACCCTCCAAATCCGCCGACCCCTTGTGGGTCTCTAGGCGTGTGAGATAGTTCCCCCCCCTATAGTCCCCCCCCAGGGACCCCAAACCGGCGATTTGACCCCCCCCCCCCGGGCCCGGGACGAGCGCCTCAGGCCCGGGACGAGCGCCCCCCCCGGGCCCGGGACGAGCGCCGCCGGGCCCGGGACGAGCGCCGCCGGGGCTTTGCCGGGTTCCAGGAAGCCTCAAGACGGGCCAAGATGGCCCCAAGAGGCGTTCAAGACGGCCCACGGGAGCTCCGAGACGCCAAACGAGCGCTCCAAGACGCCCAAGATGGCTCCAAGACGGGCTAAGAAGCCTCCAAGACGGCCCAAGAGGTCCCCAAGAAACCCCAAGACGCCTCCAAGATGCGTCCCACGAGGGTCCCTAGACGCAAAAATTGGCCCATTCCCTTCGTAAAACGTACATTTTTCACGAATTCGCTTTTTTGGTTTTTCCGACGCTCCCAGACGGCCCCAGACGGCCCAAGAGGCCCTAAATACCGCCCCAAGACGGTCCAAGCAGCCTCCAGGGAAGCTCCAAGGCAGCCCAACAGAGCCCCAAGACAGCCCAAGAGGCGCCCAAGATTGCCCAAGAGGGCCCCGAAGACGGCCCCAAGAGCGCTCCAGGAGCGCTTCAAGTTGCCTCCAAGAGAGCTCAATATGGTCACAGACGGTCGAAGAGCGATCAAAGACACCGACGATCGCCTCCAGACGGCCCAGGACGGCCCCAAGAGGCCCAAAGAGGCCTCCAAGATGCGTCCCAGGAGGGCCCCTCGGCGCAAAAATTGGCCCGTTCCCTTCGTGAAACGTACTTTTTTCCACAAATTGCCTTTTCAGCTTTCCGACGCTCCCAGATGGCCCTGGAGGCCTCCAATACAGCCCCAAGGTAGCCCAGAGGCGTTCGAGCCGGGGTCATCCGAGCTCCGGTGGATCCCGGCTCGAACGCCGCCGGGGGGAGCAAAGGGCCCGAAAACGAACCAAGAGCGCACCAGAGCCCCCCCCCCGGGCCCGGGACGAGCGCCGCCGGGCCCGGGACGAGCGCCGCCGGGGCTTTGCCGGGTTCCGGGAAGCCTCTAGACGGGCCAAGATGGCCCCAAGAGGCGTTCAAGACGGCCCACGGGAGCTCCGAGACGCCATGCCTCTCAATCTTTTCTTCTGGCACTTGCCACTGCGCTGTAACGCCTGGCAGCTACGAGCAGTGAAGGCGGAAACGCGGCGATAGCCGCCGGTACGAATCAAGGGGTCGGCGGATGTGGCGTGAGCCTGGAGAATCTGCCCAAGAGGGCTCCAAGACGGCCCCAAGGCATAGGGAACGAGGTCGACTTGCGCTTCTCAGGCGTGGGTCTTAAACTCAACCTCCTTCAGGCTGCGATGCTGCGCTGGCACGGAGGCCGGGTTTACCGCGGGCAGCTGGATAGCGTGCGAGAACCTGATAAATCACACGTGCTCCTCATAGTCATCCTCGTCCCTGCTCCCAGTTCTATACATCGTCCTCCTCCTCCTCCTCCTCGTCCTGCCCCTCCTCCTACAACGAATCATCAGCATCAGCAGCAGCAGCATCATCATCAGCAGCAGCCGCAGACGCAGCATCATCATCAACATCATCAGCATCATCAACAACAACAACATCATCATCAGCATCATCATCATCATCATCATCATCATCAGCATCATCCTCAGCATGATCGTAATCATCATCATCAACAACATCATCACAATGAGCATCATCATCATCATCATCATCATCATCATCATCATCATCATCATCATCATCATCGTCATCATCATCATCATCCTTTCTATTATGATTGGCATTATCACTACTACACTCACCATCACCATCGTCGAAAGCATCATCGTTACCACCACCATCATCATCATCATCATCATCATCATCATCAGCAGCAGCAGCAGCATCATCATCGTCATCTTCATCATCATCATCATCATCATCATCATCATCATCATCATCATGATAAGCATCATCATCCGCATCATCAGCAGAATCAGCATCAGCATCAGCATCATCATAGTTACGCTCATCATCATCATAAGCATCAGCATCGTCATCATCAGCATCGCCACCATCAGCATCATCAGCATCAACACCGTCATCATAATCAGCAGCATCGTGCTGGTCATCGTCACCATCATCATCAGCAACGCAACAGTATCGTCGGCATCAACCTCATCATCATCATCATCATCATCATCATCAGCAGCATCATCATCACCACCATCATCCTCATCATCGTCATCGTCACTATCGTCATCATGAACTTCGTCATCAGCATTATCAACAGCATCGACGTCATCATAGTCATCATAGACATCATCCTCATCAGCATCAGCATAATCATCATCCTCTTCGTCATCATCATTGACATGATCATCATCAGCAGCGCCATCATCAACAGCAACATCTGCATCATCAGCATCATGGTCTTCATCATCTTCATCATCATCATATTCATCATTATAAGCATCATGATGAGTCTCGTCATCCTCATCATGTTGATCATCAGCACCATCAGTATCACAATAACCATCATCAGAATCATCATCAACAGCAGCATTATCATCGTCGCCGTCGTCATCGTCAGTGTCAGCATCTCATCATCATCATCATCATCATCAGAATCATCATCCTCACCATAATCATTATCATCATCAGAATAAGCATCATCATCATCACCATAATGATCATCGCATGCCGCGTAGTCATAATCGCCACCATTGCAATCATGATTACCTGCATCACAACCGGCATCATCCGCAGCATCACATCCTCCCCATCCACATTCTCATCCTCATCCTCATCCTCATCCTGATCCTCAGTCACCATCACCATCATCATCATCATCATCATCATCATCATCATCAGCAGCAGCATTAGCATCATTTTCGTCATCTTGCTCACCTTCGTAATCATCATCATCAGCAGCATCATCGCCAGCAGCATCATCATCAGCATCATCATCTGCATCCTCATAACCATCATGCTCGTCATCGACATCATGGTCGTCGTCCATCATCGTCAGCACTATCATCATCATCAGCATAATCATCATCATCATCATCATCATCATCATCATCATCATCATCATCCTGATCATCAGTACCATCATCTGAATCAGCATCATCATCATCATCATCATCATCATCATCAGAATCATCATCATCGTCATCATCATCATCATCGCCATAATCAGCCACATCATCATCAGCAACATCACTGTCGTCATAATAATGATGATACTGGTATGAGTCGTAAAAATATAGATAATAGTTGTCGTCGCCGCCGTCGTCATCATCATCATCGTCATCATCATCATCATCATCATCATCATCATCATCATCATCATCATCATCATCATCATCATCATCATTGTCATCATCACCATAATCATCATCAGCATCATCCTCATCATCAGCATCATCAGCATCGTCGTCATCGTCACCTGTCATCGTCATGAGTATTAGCATCATCATCATCAGAGTCATCATCCTCATCCTCATCCTCTTCCTCATCATTCGTCTCCTCCTTATCCTCCTCCAGATGCGCAAGCCTCCTCCCTTATCCTCCACCTCCATCCTTCCTCATCCTCCTCCCACCCGTGTTGGTCGTCTCTCCTCCTATTCCTACTCATCCTCTTCCCCCGTCGACCTCACTGGTGCTGGCCCCTCATTCATGTTTCGGCTGCCCTGTTGCTAGCGACAGCTCCCTGCAAGTTCCACCTGGGGAATCCACCGAAGAAGTCGCACGAAGACCCAGATTACCGCAAAAACAGCTGCAACCAGTGAGCGGGACAACGATTGCTAGGAGAGGTAAACACAAAAAAGGCATACGCTGCTCTGCCCTTGCTGAATGAATCACGAAGCCCATCAAACCAACACGTCCGTTAAAAGCGGAGGAGGAAAAAGAAGACAAGAACGAGGACAAGGACGAGGATGAAGAGGAAGAGGCCCACGATCTCAAAAAAGCCCCCAGTCTTCTCTGCCACCGCATCGCTGGCGACTCCCGATGTACTCGAATACCTCTACGTGCGACTTCCTTCGGATGCTTCCGCGGCCGTCGCCAACGAAATCCCTAATCACCCTCCTCCTGCTCGTCATTCTCATCCGCACCCTCCTCCTCATCCTCCTTCTCCTCCTCCTCCTCCCCTCATCCGCCGGCGTTGGCCCACCCTGCGTCTGTCCTCGCTGCCGGCGGCGAACGCCTCCTGATTGTCGTCCACCTGGTGGCCGGGAACGGCCAAAGGGGGCAAGCAGGAGGAGAGCCAGATGGAGGGAGGAGAAGGAGAAGCAGGAGAAATGGGAGAGGAGAGGAGGGCGGAGGTGGAGGCAAACAAGGCGGAAGACCAGGAAGGAGGGAGAAGGAGTAGGAGCAGGGAGAAACAGGATAAGGCGGGGAGGCGGGGGCAGAAGAGGAAGCGGAGGAAGAGGATGAATGGCAGTATTTCTGCAGGTGGGGGTATGGGATTTTCTTCACGCCAACTAGTCCGACCCCACCCACCCTTGTACTGGTACGAAGGCACCTATGCTGTGACCAGCCCAGGGACCTCTGCTCGGCCCTCCTCGCAAAGGGGAAAAGGGCGCCGCGGGAAGGAGGGAACATGAATGAAAAAAGGTACCCCCAGCACATGAGCCCAATACGCCTCGTCTGGCGACAGCGCGCGCCGACATCGCATGGAAGCAGGACCCGTCGCTAATCCACGCACCTCCATCCATGGTAGCGTTCCCTATGCCTTCTTTCTTCCCACGCCCTGCTCCCTGCCTCCCCCTCTTCCTCCTCGACCCCCACCCCCCCCTCTCTGTATGGAAACGGTGCCCGTCGCTAACCCACGCGCCTCAATCTGTGTCAGCGTTCCCTCGACCGTCGTTCCCCGCCCTGCCCCCCGCCCCCCCTCCTCCTCGACCGCCGCCCCCCCCCCCCTTGAGGACCGCCTGCCGCGCAGCAGCGTTCGCCGCGGGGTCCTGCCGAGGGGGGGGGAGGAGGAGGAGGAGGAGGCGGAAGAGGAGGAGGAGGAGGAGGAGGAGGAGGAGGAGGAGGAGGAGGAGCAGGAGGAGGAAGAGGACCAGTGTCGACCAAGGACGCATCAACGAGGTTGCAATGTACTCTCTCTCCGAGTTCCCCTCTTCGTTGGGCCCTAGAAGAATGTATTTCCATTGCGGGACCCGTTGAAGACAACCAGCTGGGAATCCCCATACCGTGCCAAAACACCAGTCCTGGGACTTCAGCGCCGCGATGATGACTGGTGCGTCTTGACAGTCCTCGAGGAAGAGGAGGCGGAGGAGGGGAGGAGGAGGAGGAGGAGGAGGAGGAGGAGGAGGAGGAGGAGGAGGAGCAGGAGGAGGAGGAGGAGGAGGAGGTAGGAGGAGGCGGAAGAGGGGCAGAGGAGTGGGGAGGTGAGAGAGCATGAGGATAGGGGGGGAAGGTGAGAGGGAGGGAGGAGGTAGGTGGGAGGAGGAGACGAAGAGAAGGTGGCGAGGAGGAGTGGGAGGTCAAGAGGGGGAGCCGAGCGACGACGAAGAGGAATGGGTAACGACGGAACGAGGACGAGCGAAGCGAGGACGAAGACGGGGGGAGGAGTGTGTGAGAGAACACAAAAACGAGCGCAGGGAGGTGCGATGTGAGAGAGGGTGGAGAGAGAGAAGTAGAGAAGGGGGAACGGAGAGGCACCAGCGCAGGAAGGAGGGGGGAAACACAGGGGAAGGGAGCAGGGAGGACACGGGGAGGGCGAAGATAGAACAGGGGGTGGGGAGAGCAGGGAGGTCGAGCAGGAAGGAGCAGGAAAGAACAGGGCGGAAGAGAAAGAAAGGAAGGGAAGGGAGGGAGGAAGAGCAAGGCCAGGATGCCTCAACGACGCTGTCAGACACCCGCCTATGCCAAGTCACCTCCTCACAAGTCCCTGTAGGCCCCTCCCCCCGCCATCACTACGGAAGCACCCCCACTGAAAGACGAGCGATCAACGGGCCTTCCGTCCCGGCGGGGGCCCCGTCTTGAGATGAGGAGATGCCATGACGACCGCGACAGGACCGCCGAGCAGAAGCGACATGTCCAGCGAGAGCTCCGTGCTGGAAACGGGCCGTCTCCCCTCATGCATGTGCTGCACGTGTTACACGTCAGGAGGGGAGAAACGCGTCTCGAGCGAAGGTTCCGCGCTGAAAAGTAACAGACCGCCTCCATCCTTGCGACTATCGCACTACCAGATTGCAAATGTTGAGCTAATCTCAAACCAGAACCCAAGCTTGAAAAACAACGCCCTCCACCCGTGTGAATGCTGGACAGATCTACAACTCGGGCCGTACGTGTGAGGAGGTCTGAAGCAAGAGCGTCAGTTTGAAAAGGAGCCACCATCCACGTGTCAGACGCATGTGCGTGGCGCTCAGGCCAGAGCCAAAGATTGAAAACAATTCGCCCTGTTTCCCTTGAACAGTTGGGAACGTTAAGATGTTAAGGTGCGGTTTCATACATGGTGAGGAAGCCGAGCGCGAAACGCCCGAACCGCCCTACCGGCACGTCTGGTGGCGCAACGAGGAAGAGCTGCTGATGGCAAAGAGAGTATCCTACTTCAGCAATCACCGCCACTGCATGTTCCAACCTTAAATTAGAGTAAAGAAGGGAGCAGGAGGAGGAGGAGGAGGCAGAAGGAGGAGGGGGAAGGGAGAAGAAAGGAGGAATGAGGGATGAGGAATGACAGAGGGAACGCGGAGAGGGGGGGGGAGCAAGCTAGATTCGCTCGCGCTTCGCTCGCGCCATATCTGACATCCTACCCCTCACTCCCATCCCTTATCACTGCGCTGATGTCGTCTCTGTCCGCCAGCGGGTGCCATAGCGGCCCCGGAGCACCCAGAAGGACCCTGTCGTGTTACGCGCAGTCTGAAAAGGGGAACTGTGCACCTTGGAGGAAGAGGTGGCGGACGAGCAGGAGGAAGAGGAGAAGGATGAGGAAGGAGGAGGAGGACGATGAGGAACTGCAGCAGAGGGGGGAGGAAGGCGGAGTTGGAGGTGCAGACGCGAAGGGGGAGAGCAAGGAAGCGCTGCGCACGAGACACCCCACCGTGCGCGCCCCTGCAGTTCACAGTGTCCAATAGCTCCACGGATGCAGGCCGAGCGGCTTCCAGAACGTGGCTCTCTCGCCGCAGCGCCACGCAAGTTGACTCTCGAGTCCCCGGTGGCTACGCAGGTGGAGGGCGGCTCGCGCTCGAACATGTGGCCCTCGCCTACCGCCGCGCAGAGGCGCTGTAAAAACTCCCGAGAATCAACGGATGGAGGGCGGCTCGTTGCCGAAGTTTTTTTTTGGAGGGAGAAGAGGAGAGCGGACATCCCAGCGAAAGCCTCCACAAGCGGCGCGAAAGAAATTCAGGTGGAACATGCGGGAGAGCAGACATGCGGACAGTTAAGGCGGCTCGTTGCCGAGATGGGGCTGTGTCATGCAACTCCGTTACTCCGGATCACCGTAGAGCCAAACTCGCGAAGCACACACACAGGTTCAAAGGCAATCCCTTTCAAAACGGAGCTCTCGCTAGAAGCCTCCTTAAATCACATGGCGTGAAAGAAATTACTGGTACTTGCTAAGGCAGGGGAGGGTCGTTCCAAGGCGTGTTGCCCACAGGATGAAGGAACAAGTGAAGTTACATGCGAAGAGGAGGCTCGGGAAGGGAGAGCAAAGAACAGCATCGTTGATACGTCTTGGACATCTTATAACAATCCTCCGCTGTATTCCACGCTCCTCCTCTTGACTAATCATCCCTTTTCGTTCTCGCTCCTTCTCCTTCATCCTCCTCCTCCTCCTCCTGCTCCTCCTCCACCATCTCGTCCACCTACTCCTCCTCCACCCGAGTCAAGGAGACACGCGAACTCCACGAGCCCGATCCCGATCCCGATCCTCCTCCTCCAGCTGCTCCTCCTCGTCCACCATCGTCATCCTCCTACTCTACCCTCGTGTCGCACCACCAGACGCGTATGCGGTACGGGCCAGGCGTTTCGCTTGAGACCTCCTTGCACCTTACTTGTTTTACAGACGCCATGGTCGAGCGAAGAGTGGTCGCGCACAAGACAACCTGTTCAGGAGAACGGAGCAAGAGAATGCGAATCGACACCCAAAGCCCAACACAAGAGCCCACGCAAGACCGCACAAGATATCCCGCACAAGACCTCTAGGACCACTCGTTTTGTTCTTCCTCATCTTCGCTACTTCTCCTTCCTCCTCCTCCTCCTCCTGCTCCTCCTCCTCCTCCTCCTCCTCCTCATCCTCCTCCTCGTGCTCCTCCTCCTCCTCCTCCTCCTCCTCTCTCCCCTCCTCTCCTCTTCCTCCTCTTTCCTCCTCCTCCTCCTCCTCCTCCTCCTCCTCTTCCTCCTCCTCCTCCCCCTCCTTCCCCTCCTCCCCCATCTTCCCCTCCTCCCACTCCTACCCCTCCCCGTCCTCCCCTTTCCCCCCCCGAGCTTGGATGCCGCAAAGGACGCTGCACAGACCTGCGCGGATGGGGGGGCCAGTCGTCTTCAAAACACGGGACTCTCGCCGTCGCGCACCGCGCACGCACGTCCGCCGAGCTGGCAGCATCGGAGGTCTGCCAACCCGGGTCAATCCAGACCCGGGTCAGCAGGAAACCAAAACTGCAATGCAGAAAAAAACAACTGCAACGCAGGTCTTCGCAAACCCATGTCAGCCAATGTACACGGCCGCTTCGCGGCCACGATCGGCTCGCTAACCCGGGTCAGCCAAAGGGGCCTTCGCAGGATCCTGCAGGATCCGGTGCCCTGGCAAACCCCCGTTTGCATTGACACGCGTCTCTTGAGCCCCGACAGCAGTCACACGGACGGAGGCCGGCTCGGTGACCCAAAGAAGGGTCTCTCGCCGCAGAGGCCAGAAAAAAAAACTATTATACAGAGATATCTATATATATATATATATTAGAGAGAGAACCTTCGAACTCATTCCACAAGCCGCCCCCCACACACACACACACACACACACACACACACACACACACACACACACACACATACACACACACAGAAGCTTCGGTCACTTCTTCGGGTTTGAAGGTTCTGTCTTCAGATCGTGTGCCACATTTACATAAAGACGGGAGGCGGGCGGTTGCAAAAGCGGGGCTCTCGCCTCGGCGCCGCGCACATTCGTCTTGAGAGCTTGCACTAGCTGCAGGGATGGAGGACGCCTCCTCTTCAAGATCGGGCCATTGCGGGAGATGCCCTCACAAATCGAAGGACCCGAAGCTTGAAAATATGCAACAGCTGCACGGATGGAGGGCGACTGATTCTTGACATTGCCTCTTCGCGGAAGACTTCCTCCTGCTCAAGAGCCAGAAGTGCAAACTCGTGCAACGGTCACACGGATGAGGGGGCGGTTCCTCTTCAAACCCGGGCCCTCGCCGAGCAACTCGTTGAACTTCCTGGTCCTACCACCCCAACCCAACCCGAAGACCCGAATTTCGGATTTGGGGGGGAGGATATGATCTTCATGTGTGCTTTTTCAATGTTCCCCGACCCCCCCCCACTGGAAATGGAGGGCAAATCGGGGCCTTCGGGCTGGGTTGGGGTGATTTGGTGGGCGGCGATTCTCGCACTCCAGATCTCCGCTGGAAGAGCGCAAGGCCACTCCTGCTGCAAAAAGTAGGGCTCTGTGGCCTGATGAACGGCAGACCCACAGGACGTTCGTCTCTCCAGGGGACGTCACTCCGTCAGTTACCAGGAAAGGCACGCCGTGACTCAGGAGGGAGTGCCTCGGGACGACGAGGGTGCATTGCAGCATCGCTGACGCATCCTGGGTTTACGTTGGCCCCCTCCTCCTCCTCCTCCTCCTCCTCCTCCTCCTCCTCCTGCTCCTCCTCCTCCTCCTCATCCTCCTCCTCCTCATCATCATCATCATCATCATCATCATCATCATCATCATCATCATCATCATCATCATCATCATCATCAGCAGCAGCAGCAGCAGCAGCAGAAGCAGCAGTAGCAGCATCGGAATCAGCATCATCAGAATAATCAGCAGCATCAGCATCAGCATCAGCATCAGCATCAGCATCAGCATCAGCATCATCATCAGCATCATCATCATCATCAGCATCATCATCAGCATCATCATCAGCAGCAGCACCACCACCCATCATGATGACCAGAATCATCATCATCATCATCATCATCATCATCAGCAGCAGCAGCAGCATCATCAGCATCATCATCCTTCTAAGGATGGGGAGGATGAAACCTGACACGCCCACAGGAACGCCATAGCCATCACAAGCATCAACATCGCAATCAATGTGTCAAGACCTGCATGGAGGTGAGAACGCGCCCGAGGTACTGTTCATGCACTACGCTCAACAAGAGCAGGCAAGGAAAGCACCCTATGAAAGGCAGACTAGCAAGGCGTGTGTGATGGAGACTCAGAAGATGCATCACTACACTGGCCAATGGGGGCATGAAGAAAGCAACTATGACATAGAATGGAGGATGCCGACGCGAGTGCACGGCGAGGACAAGTGGAGACATGAAGAGAATGAACCACAATGGGCAACGAATAGAGACACCCCCAGGCACCAGCAGCACTGATGCTGGCGTCGTTGGTACCTCTCGCCCCCCTCCACGGCTCTCCACTCTGGGGTGACCACAAGGTACCGATACCGCTGCTCCCCAGACCTCTCCCAGGGTGCGTTCTGACCAGAATTTCGAGGCGAATCCAGCGGTGGCGACGAGGGCCGCCCAGGAGGCGCAAAAGGGAGAAAACGGGCGGAGGGTAGAGGTATGGGTACCTTTTCC